TTTCAGATTTTTTTAAAAATTTTAGTTAATACCGTATTGTGTTCTTTTAATGTTTTTATTTTTTATTTTTAATTTCAGTTGTTTCAAAATTGTATTCCTACTTGAACTCTCTTTTATTTTTTCTAATTTTGGATATTATTTTATTTTTATTCTAAATTTTAATTAATCTCGTACTGCGTTCTTATATGGATTCTTCTTTCAGTATTGCTTATTTCTAATTCCGAATTTCAGCAAATTTTAAATTGTATTCCTACTTGAACTCTTCTTTTATTTTCTTTTGCTAATTTCGGATTTATTTATTTTTATTCCGAATTTTAATAATCTCGTATTGGGTTCTTATATAGACTCTTCTTTTAATATTCTTTTTTTTTAATTCCGAATTTCAGCTATTTTTAAATTGTATTCCTACTTGGACTCTCATTTCCTTTTCTAATTTTGGTTTTTATTTTGAAATTTTATTAATCTCGTATTGGGTTCTTATATGAAAACTTATTTCTATATTGCTTATTTTTAATTCCGAATTTCAGCTATTTTTAAATCGTATTTCTACTTGGGCTCTCCATTCCTTTTCTAATTTTGGGTTTTATTTTATTTTTATTTCAAATTTTAATTAATCTCGTATTGGGTTCTTATACGGAAACTTCTTTCAATATTGCTTATTTTTAATTCCGAATTTCAGCTATTTTTAAATTGTACTTCTACTTGGACTCTTCTTTTTTTTTTCTTTATCTCCGATTAATGTGGGAATTTCTAGCTCCCACAGCGAACGTGGTGCCTCCTTTCAAAGCTGTTTTAATAATATAACACATAGATAGATAGATAGATTGTGGGTAAAATCTTTTATATATGTGTGTCTAGTGTCCTAAGCAATTTATAAGCCAATGATAACAAAATTACGTTGTGAAAATAAATCAACTTTAAAATTAAGTTAGGAAATTTAAATGTTGGAGCATTCGCGTATATTGTTTGTCCACAGCTTTTCTAATTTTCACTACTCACTACGGTATAATAATGGAAATTAAGAATCCAAAACGTGCATATTACTATCCATTTTTTGTTATAAGGTGCCTTGATTTTTTTTCTAGTTAAATTTTGTTAGCGACTAGTGAAGTCAACTTGCACTATGTTGGAACATATCTTTTTTTGTAGCAATTTTATATATAGATTTTTCTCTAGACGTGGTTGGGAGCGCATATACGTCAAATATCATTCCACATTTCTTCAAGAGTGATCAAACTTCACAAAGATTGACAACAGCAATTTTAAGTCATAAAATAAAACAGAATGAAAACAATATTGAACATGGTTATGACAACAGTAACATTTCCTCTTATATGGCATCATTATGCTAGTTTCATTAACATCTTCTCCACATTTAGTCAAACTGTCAGAGTATTTATGGCTCAAAATTTGAATTTGAGTGAGTGAATTACGTTGTAGCAAAATGTGTTTATTGATGTAAATTCGTAAACCATTGCTATAACTGCATAGCTGGTGCTTCTTCTCAACTTTCAACTGAATTTGCTGTTTGCAGAACCGATGTGTGAACATGATTGCACACCTCTTCAATGCTCCTCTAGGGGACTCTGAAACGGCCGTCGGAGTCGGCACTGTCGGCTCGTCTGAGGCCATCATGCTCGCCGGTTTGGCCTTCAAGAGGAGGTGGCAGAACAAGATGAAGGCAGCCGGCAAGCCATGCGACAAGCCTAACATTGTCACCGGCGCCAATGTCCAAGTAAGCAGATGGCCATCTCCATTTACCACTCTTGTTAACGAGCACGCGTAATTAACCCACATTTGAAATGCAGGTTTGCTGGGAGAAGTTCGCGCGATACTTCGAGGTTGAGCTCAAGGAAGTGAAGCTGAGTGACGGCTACTACGTCATGGACCCAGCTAAGGCCGTGGATATGGTCGACGAGAACACCATCTGCGTCGCGGCGATCCTCGGGTCGACGCTGAACGGGGAGTTCGAGGACGTGAAGCTGCTCAACGATCTGCTCACCAAGAAGAACGCTGAAACAGGGTAACGAATCAAACAGTTCATTTCTTCCAATCCTCTGCACAAAGCCACAAAGTACTTATATGCCCCAATGCACATTGAAAACTGAAAAGTGTTTGCTGCATAGTAAAAAGCTAATGCAGAGTTGCTGCTGGATTGATTTGAATGTGCAGCTGGGACACGCCGATCCACGTGGACGCGGCGAGCGGCGGGTTCATCGCGCCGTTCCTGTACCCGGAGCTGGAGTGGGACTTCCGGCTGCCGCTGGTGAAGAGCATCAACGTGAGCGGGCACAAGTACGGCCTCGTCTACGCCGGGATCGGGTGGTGCATCTGGAGGAGCAAGGAGGATCTGCCTGAGGAGCTCATCTTCCACATCAACTACCTCGGCGCCGACCAGCCCACCTTCACCCTCAACTTCTCCAAGGGTAAAAATCTCCTCTCTTTGTTTTGACAGTTTTACGGTTTCTTGAATCTTGATGGCTATGTCAGTTCGGTTCATCTGGTTACATGCATGATGCACGCACACAATAACAGAATGGCACAATCTTTTTTCCAGGTTCCAGCCAGGTCATTGCACAGTATTACCAACTAATCCGCCTAGGCTTTGAGGTGAGAAAAATGCTATTTCTTAGTACTCTCTCTCCGTTTCAGGTTATAAGACGTTTTGCTTTTGGTCAAAGTCAAACTACTTTAAATTTAACTAAGTTTATAGACAAATAAAGTAATACTTATAATATCAAATTAGTTTCATTAAATCAATAATTGAATAAATTTTCATAATATATTTGTCTTGGTTAAAAATATCACCACTTTTTTTCTATAAAATTAGTTAAACTAAGATTAATTTGACTTTGACCAAAGTCACAACATCTTATAACCTAAAACGGAGGGAGTAGCTTTTATCACTCTTACACAATCACAATTAACTTGTACTCCTATGTGATTAATACATATAATTTGATCACGTGATATTTGCAGGGGTACAAGAACATCATGGAGAACTGCCAGGAGAACGCGATGGTGCTGAAGCAGGGGCTGGAGAAGACGGGGCGGTTCAACATCGTGTCCAAGGACAACGGCGTGCCGCTGGTGGCCTTCTCCCTCAAGGACAGCGCCCGGCACAACGAGTTCGAGATCTCCGACTTCCTCCGCCGCTTCGGCTGGATCGTGCCGGCCTACACCATGCCCCCCGACGCGCAGCACGTCACCGTGCTCCGCGTCGTCATCCGCGAGGACTTCAGCCGCACGCTCGCCGAGCGCCTCGTGCTCGACGTCGAGAAGGTGCTGCACGAGCTCGACGCGCTCCCCGCCCGCGTCGTCGCCAACGGCGGCGACGCCGCCGCCGCGTCGGCGAGCGAGAGGGAGATGGAGAAGCAGCGCGAGGTGATCTCCCTCTGGAAGAGGGCCGTGCTGGCCAAGAAGAAGACCAACGGCGTCTGCTAAAGCAAGTCAGCTGCGCAGCGGGGATCGTATACTATTATTATGGTCCACTTCGTAATTGCGACTTCTTAATTTTTACCGTGTCGATCGGTTTACCGTCTCAAGTCTGCTCTCATCCGATTTTCGGATTGATGCTGCTTAATTATGTACCAAGTTAATTAATTCTTAGAGGACGGAATAGTTCCGACTCAATACGAAGCATTGCCTGTATAAGTCGAACACGGGATCATGCATTTTACGTTGGGTGTGTAGCAGTGAATTGATCAGTGATGCTCCATCTCTACTCTGAACGTGCTACCTCCATTCCAAAAAAGAAAAAAAAAACTTTTATGAACGAATTTGTGTATGAAAATTACCATCTCCGTCTCGTAATATAATAAATTTTGGTTTTAGATTGCGTAAAGTAAATCTCTTATATGATGATGATGATATGAAGGTAGTACACATTTTTCTGAGACTGGACGGTAGACTGTCTGGTACTGGGAGAGAAGACACCAACAACCAAGGGAGAACGAGACGTTCCTGGCACGGCGTGGGTTCGCATTTGGACTGGAATTCTCTCATCGTAAGGCCCATCAGTCATCAGTAGTCCATCTTAGGCCCCCTGTAATTTTTCTGATTCATTTTTAGGAACAAATGCACCGGATTTACTTGAAAAAAAAAAACTGACCAAGTACACTCGACCGTCCAAAACTGATAGGACGGCTCAGATTGCTCACTACACCATACATACAACTCCCTGCAACCAACGTTGCGATGGTGTCAAAATCCTGGTGATGTTTCTTGATCATCTTCTTACGACAATCGCACAACCATGAAAAGAAAGAGTGTTCATTGAGCGGTAAGCATTGAGAATGCCCGCCGATAGCTCTGAGCGCAACCCACCACAGTTGTCGCGACTCCGGGCATGCGACCAAGAGATTATCAATCGTCTCTTCGCATTGATCCCAAAGAACACATCGATCCAGATATGACAAACCACGACTCTGAAGGCCGGTTCACTGTCTAGCAACGGTTAAGGGCGACCAACCAAAGGAAGTAGCGACAACGAGGGGGCGCCAAAGATTGCAAAATTGGCTTGTGCTGGAGATGAGTTCTTCAAAAAAAAAAAAAAAGAGAACACGATAAGCTGAGCGGGAAGAGTATTCTCCTGAGGTCTCCCACCGCCAAGATAGAGAGTCCGGTTCTTCGGAAAGCTGCACTGACCGAAGGCAATCCCAAAGCTTGAAATACTCCAGAATCGCTTGAATACCCAACACCGAACTGATGTCCCGGATCCATCTTCTGTCAGTCAATGCCTCGGCCACCGTGCGACGATTCCGAAGACGAGCAGGGACGGCTGCATAGACAGCCGGCGCCAGCGACTGAATTATTTTTTTAATCTTAATCTTTGCTAAATAATCTAGTTCAATAATTATATTGGGAAAATGAAGTAACTTATAAGAGTGGCAAATAGTAAAATTCCCCTATCATATGTTCCACTTGACATTTCGATTTTTTTTAAAATCTGAGATTTCGAAATAGATTATATCACTATGGAGTATGGAGTATGGGCATTTCATATTTTCATTTCGGAAGGGAGATTTCGAAAAAAGAAAAACACTACAGTGGCTGCGCACCCGCCGCATCCGAGCCTCTGCACGCCGCATCCTCTCCGCCGACGAGGACACCGGCCCGGAGCCCCACCTGGCCACCACCACTCGCCACCTTCGCCGCCTCAACTGCCGGCCGTCCAGTCCTCGGGGATGCGGCAGTGTGTGTGGCGGCCCGGTGGCTGTGCTATGGCGGCCAAAATCGAAATCAACCGCCGGATTTCCTGCGCTCCACCGCACGGCGGCCTGACGGTGGCTGCTCATCCTTCGCGCCGAGCTATTCCGCCGCCGGTGAGTTCTCCATGAAGCTTTGCTGACCTCTATTCGGAATACGAATCCGTGCGATCCAGTCTGATTCAGAGTGGATTCGCGCGCAGACACGAGTTTCCCGGGAACAAGTCTGATTCAGAGTCGGATTTCTCTTTTCAGGGCAACAAATTCCGGTGGTGTCCGTGTCCGTTTCAGTTTGCGTTGGCTAACTTCAGGTATATGAAGGTATACCTTGTGCCTCTCACTTCATCAAATGTTCCAACTCGGCAAGTTTTCAAGCAGACGACGAATTTCACCTTTCAAGTGGGGATCGATCTGTTCCAATGGCGGCCTGTAGCATAGCCAGGATTATAAACTTAGGGGATCTAGCAAAATGTCCCAAAAATTTGTGCTGCCTACTCTTCAGAGTTGTGTCCAAGTTCCTAGCCCTTTCTCCCAGTTTACTGAAGGAAGTGGAAAAAGATGATGGTGATCAGCCATCAATGACAGAGAGTGTCATGGCAAATTTACCAGAGCTGCATCAGGACATCTTAATGGAGATATTTGCCCTCCTGGAGATCCCTGACCTCGTGCGCGCAGGGTCGGTTTGTAACTCCTGGCGCTCCGCCTACAATGGAATGCGCAGCCTAGGTATCTATAAATTGTCCCAGACACCGTGCCTGCTCTACACCTCTGAATCTGCTGGCGATAGCGTCGTGTCTCTCTACAGTCTTGTCGAGAAGAGGGAGTACAAGATTACTCTACCAGAGCCACCCGTGCGTAGTAGGTTTCTGATCGGGTCCTCACTGGGCTGTCTGGTTACTGTTGATGACGTATCCGAGATGCACCTGGTCAATCCGATTACAGGGGAACAAATAGCTCTCCCTTCTGTTATCACAATCGAGCATGTGAATCCCATCTTCAATGAGTCCGGTGCTATCCACATGTATGAGTACTCATGGTACAGTGCATCGAGGGTTTATCATTCTGAGCCATCAATTTTCTCCCTTGACGAGCTGCGAGAATACCTTCTTGATAAGGCTTTTGTGTTTTCTGATACATCCACAGAAAATTACCTCGTGGTACTAATTCACAATCCGCATTCGCAACTTTCGTTTGCAAGGGTTGGGGATGATAAGTGGACCTGGCTTCCACCACACACTCACTATGCTGACTGCATCTACAAGGATGGCATATTGTATGCAGTGAATAAAGTGGGAGAAATCCATGCATTCGATCTCAGTGGCCCTGTGGTCACAATGAAGACGATAATTGAAATGGTGCCAGGATATGCTTGTGATAAGATGTACATTGTGCAAGCTCCATGGGGTGATCTTCTGCAAGTTTGGAGGTCATATGAGTACATTGAGGGGGATTACGAGGCTGACTTGCATGATGCTGACCCTGCAATATCTGTGGAGAATACTGCGGAAATTAAAATATTTGTTGTTGACACTGTGGAAAAAAAGCGTGTGGAGATCGAAAACCTGGATGGTCACGTGCTATTTCTTGGGCATAACCAATCACTTTGTCTCAGCACAGAACAATATCCACATCTCAAGGAAAATTATACATATTTTACTGATGACAACGATCTTTCGTTATTTGGACACAAGAATAATCGTCGTGATATTGGATTATTTGATTTGAAACATAACAGCAGGGAGGAACTTGTGTCTCCTCAGCTTTGGTCCAACTTTCCTGCTCCTGTATGGATTACACCTAGTTTCACAAAGTTGAACTTCGCCTAGAAGAAGCACCTTTAAGGCTAGTTTTTTATTTATGGATATTAGAGTTGTGTATGTTTCTTCTTGTTCTGTGCAATTTATATGTAAAATTATGATTGGAGAACTAAAGTGTGAATGTGAAGGTTAAGTTGCTTCATATTTGTTTTGTACCAACCTTTATTATGTTTATTTAAATTTCTGCTATGTGAAAGTCTAAACAACAGGTCTTGTGCGGTAGCCACTTGAGGGGAATTAGTGAAATATACAAGGCTAATGTGACCAATGTTATTTTGGAAAATGGTAAAGCTGTAAGTACTGAGTCTAAAATAACTTAACTCTGAGAGTCTTGAATGCAAAATTGGCAGGATGACCGGGCTAATTTTATTTTGAACTACGACTAATTACCCTTACAATGTTTGCAAGTATTATAAAGTGTTTATGTTCTTTCTTAACATGTCCATTAACCTCTTAGTTTTATTCTCTGCTATCTATGACTAATTATCCTGTCATGCAGCATGTCCATTAACAATGTATATTTTAATGGTAATCTGAAATAGTGGATAATGCTTTTTGTTCTTATTTATGTTTCTTCTTCCAATGATTTTGGACTTTTCTTTTTCTAGTAAATTGAATATATTTGGGGTCATGGATGCCACAAAGTAAAAATATAGAGTTCTCAGATTGCACATGTAACAAATATTTATTCATTTTTGTTCTGAGTTTTGACAATCTAAACTTACTACATTTTCCTGGAGGTATGATACAGAAGCCATGTACTTTGATGAGGATGTGAGAACCGCTAAACGTCAGCAGTTAGAATGTGAAATCCTAATGAGTCACTCATTTCCATGTTACTAATTCAAGTTATGACTAAGAGAAAGTAGTTTAACCAGCTGATGGTGTTTGGTTATTACGAAAATATGTTTGTTTTTTCTTAATATTCTTGCTTGTTCATGACATTTCAAATAATGGATTGCTAATATTCACACATACATTCCAACAAAGGTGCTGCAAAAATTTCAGGCACTCTAGGATAATTGCAGTGATAATTGCATATGGCTATTATAATATAGACATTTGTCTCTTCCTAATTAGAGAGGATGATATCTGTCAGAAAAATGTAAATGGACTGTTTTATTTGTCCTTATTTGATCAACTGGTCTCATAAATCTTGGGTTTTGCAGCACACATGTCCTGCTTTCAAGAAAATGTTAGAACACCTGCATCATGTGGTTCTCAACAAATTCAAAAGCGATCTAGACCAATCATTAAGGAGCGGCGGGGGATTTGCAGCATCAGCTCGTTATTGTGCGCAGTCATCAATGGTGAAATTAAATGCTAGATCAAGGTAAACAAACCACGGCCAAGATATATTGGGATTAAAATATTTTGCAATTTGTTAAACGTGACATGCATTCTGACCTGCTTTCTGCTGCTATTTTTTGTCCTGCAAATCCGATTCTGCAAAAGCCAAATCTCCAAAGTTTGGTGCTCATTTGATAGTTTTATTGACGATGAATGTCTAAACCGTATGTCGACTAGTATTATGGGCCTTTGCTTCTTGATCTTGTTTTAAGCCTCTTGTGCTTGCTCCTGCCAACCATACTGTGTAAATTTTTCAAATATTATATGCTTGTCGATAGTTTGTGCATTCAGATTATACTAGAAACACAACAGTATTCATTATAAGTAAATTCCTAGCAGTTTGAAGTAATGTGATTTGAAACTCATCATTCCTTAAATCTTTGGTCTACAATACATGACATCAACTCTCTGCATTGTCATGCAGATTCTTTGGTTAAGCATGCAGTGTGGGACACTACAGAAGTTAGGGGCAAACTGGAGCACCATATAGAAGCTCATGCAACATCTGTTCGGGGTACAAAACTGGCTGAACTGAAGGCTAATTATGAGGTTATTTTTCATACTCAGTGCACAGTATATTATTGCAATTTCAGCATGCTCCTAGAATTCCTCATTTCATGAGCTCTTACAGTTGTTTTTTTAAAAACCATCCTCATGCTTGGATCTTTTGTTGCCGCAATGTTCAGAAAAAACTCTTGGATGCGCTTGCTGGACCTGTATAGTCAACCTGGAAACTGGTGAAAAAAAACTCTTGGGCATGTATTAGAAGACTTTATAGGCATGCAACTGAAAATGCTATTTTGGCATTCTCAGCTTCCCTCTCTGAGTTTGAACTAGACCAGATAACTATCCATAAGATGGTCAAGGAATTAAGAGAACATGCAAGAAGTATAGTAGAAGAGAAAGCTAGAAAAGAAGCTGGGAATGTTCTGATGCGTATGAACGAAAGGTGGAATTTAGAGGGAAAAAATAGTCAAATCTCTCTTACATTTTCAATGATTTTCAGATTATACTAGCCATTTTTGCAATATTTATCTTATCCGTACCCATTTCATTGGACTGTAGATTTTCCACTGTTGAGCCGTGATAAGGACTCCATGCCTAGGACATGGAAAGGGAATGAAGACATAAGTGCAATCACTAGAGAAGCACGTTTAGCGGTATATCTTTTTTTTTCTTTTAATCAATATTGCACCATTTATTGGGTATCTGATCTATGGTGTAGAAACATGATCTGTTTATCATCTTTACACTGCAGGCAGCTAACCGTTTGGACAATAAACCAGATAAAATAGACCGGACTCTAACAACTGCTCTTTTAGATGGAAGACCGCTTTCACAGAAGAGGAGTATTGAATTCGCATCTGATCCTATTGTCTCAAGCACATGGGAAGAGGTGCTGGCACTTAGATTTAGAAAATTGTGATTTTCAAGGAAATGTGATGAATAAGTCGTAACATTTTCACATCTATACAGGTGTTAGAAAAAATACACTGATCACACCAGTGCAGTGTAAATCCATCTGGAGGAACGCAGAGACTGAGTATGCTGTTGCAGAAGCAATTTCTATGCAGGTATATTCCTTGGCCATTTCTGCTCAAGTGCTTATCCAATTGATTGCATAACACTGAACTATTTTGGTCAAATGGATAGGTAAAACATAATTGAATTTGTTGTTTTCTTATTATGAACCATGAAGCCTGGCCTGGTGATTTCAGAGGGTCCTCAATGCTCTTAAAAAAAACTGAACTTGATAAGCTTTTTCATGAAATATGTTCTTTTTGTCCATTATGTGGAAGTCCATTTATGATATTTCCATCTGATTGTTGGTGCTATGTGCTGACCAAATTCTTCCAAATTTTCTTCCAGCAGGAAGCACACAAACATAGCAATAATTGGCTGCCACTGCGTGGACTATTCTACTTCTTGCAATTTTAGGTTACAACGAATTTATGTTTCTTCTAAGGTAATCATCTCAATGAAGTAGCTTGCTTATCCTTGTAAAGGATAGGATTCTCTGTTGCATTAATGCATAAACTGAGAAATCCCAAACTTGACACTTAACATATATAACTGCTAACCATTTTTATGAACTCCTGGACACGAACCCTTTGTATCTTCTGGGGCTCTTCGTTGTCTTCGTGGTATCCTATGCTGCATGGTTGCAATATAACATCACAGCCTATTTTCGCCATGGTACAATAAGATTATACACATCTCGTTTCACATAAATTGTATCCCAGTGCATTGAACCAAAGTCGCTGTTGCTTAAGAGGAGTTAAGGCTGGATCACCTTAGCTTGTTTCATCATGCAGAATTCTTCTCTTAAATTTCTTTTTTTAAATAATGGATAGAAATTTGGCCTCTATATCCACAAGTGGATTTACGCAGCCAAACTCCTCTTAAATTTCTATCTAGTGCATTTCAGTTCAACTGAATTACTTGACACGTATTATTCGAACTAATCTCTGGGTTGTTCTTTCATATGCAGCTGTCAGGTCTTCTGACAATTACATCTGGTTTTCTCCCCACAATAATGGACATCATAACAGCAGTCATCAACATTAGTCACAACCAGAAGAGCTCCATTAATTCTCCATTGTGAACCCATTGTTCCATGTTCCTCAGTTTAAACAACACATCCTGATTATTCTCCTGTTCTCTGGACGAAAGTCATTTTTCACAGAAAGGAGTTAAGGATGGGCTATCTTAGCTTGTTCATTTTATGATGACATAAGTTACTACAGTGATTGATCAACCGGCAACTAATTTTATGATGACAGAAGAGCATCTCACACGTGTTATTTGTTACTACAGTGATCATTGAAGAGCTGAAGCTTTAAGGAACAAGTGTACATATCTGAGTTGTAACAATCTAGGCGAATATAGAGATTAAGACTACAACTCGAATGTGCAAACATATGTATATGTATAGATGATTAATGCACAAAAATTGGTCAATCCGTATCTAATTTGCTAATGTGATTATTGCACAAACATATGTATGCAGAGAAATGACTAAGAGTTATCTCCTCGAGATCTCAGCTTTATATGCTGGTGAACAAACGATGAAAGGAAATGATGAAGTCGAATCTGAATTTCTTGAGAAATGATCACTCTTCCCACCAACCAGCTGGCAATGTGTGACAAAAGTAGTTGTGCAACTGAAGATCACGAGCCGTAGTAACATAGATGCGGCAGTCCTCGGCCTCACATGGAACAAGAGGAAACTTGCTGTGCTTCATGTGGCAGTGAAGCAACATCTGCAAGTGCAAATTATAACCGTGTAAGTTGTTGTTAAGAAACACACAAAACAATAGAAGAAAATATTGATTGTAAGAACAGAGCATCACTGAATAGAAGAAAATATTGATTGTAAGAACAGAGCATCGCTGAATAGAAGAAAATATTGACTGTATAACACAAAAGAAGAACAGAGCATCACTGAACAACTGCAAGTACAAATCACAACATTAATTAATTGTTGTTAAGAAACACACAGCATAATAAAACAAAGCATGCATTGCTGACTATACAACACAACAGAAGACCAAAGCATGGACTACTGACCTGGCTGCCTGAAACCCTGTTGCTCCCAGTGAAGTTTTGTTCTTGAAAGAAGCAGATGTGACAGATAGTTTTATGAACAATGGTACGAGATTCTCTACAGTAATGAATATACTGGTCTTCCACCTCAAATGGAACCTCCTCCCCGTTCACCACTCGATGTTGGCGCTGCGCCTGAGGTTGAGGTGGAGCTTGTGGTGGAGCTGGAGGGGTATGCTTCTTTTGAGGAAGGTGAATCCAGGCTTGGTTGCCTGTTCGATTCGTTGTGGCGCCCTTGCCTCCGGCCTTGCCATGGGCTAAGCCTGTTCGACCCGTTGTGGTGCCCTTGCCATGGGCTGGTGTAGGTGCCACCTCTGACGAACGCCGGGCGTGGCCACCACCGAAGAAACTCATCATTCTCTCAACAGCTGTCGTGATCCAGCCCGAGTCAGTCGGTGGCGCGACCGTGGCCACCTCTGTCGACGGCGACGTCACGGCCGGCTGCGGTGCCTCCGGCGCGCACTCGCGGCGCTGGTCTGAGGCCGCGCGCTGCCGCCTCCTTCTACCCATAACTCCTCTCCGGTCGGCGAGTTGACGGCGGCGGTGGGCGGCGCTATTTCTTGTCTCGTCGCCCAGCGCACGCGTTCTTGGCTCGCCGACAACGGGAACACGGCTGGTGGTGGTGGCGACGGATTCTTGAAGCTGTGCAGAGGAGCTCCCGACGGTTCTTGGCGTGGCGGATTTCTTGGTGGCAGAGTCGGTGTCGTCTCTGGCGACGCAGGTGTTGCTCGCGGCGATGTGGTGGATTTCTTGGTGGCAGAAGCGGTGTCGTCTCTGGCGACGCAGGTGTTGCTCGCGGCGATGTGGCGGATTTCTTGGTGGCAGAGGCGGTGTCGTCCCTGGCGACGCAGGTGTTGCTCGCGGCGATGGTGGCGCACCGACCCACGTCCGCCGGCGTGTTCTTGTAGCCCGACGCAACGGTTCTTCGCGCGGCGGAGCTCCCCGCGGCACGGGTGGTGTCGTCCCCGGCGAAGCTCCCGGCGGCGCAGGCGTCAGCCCACGGGGATGGTTGGCGCACGCGCACCCGCGTTCGCCGGTGGGTTCTTGGTGCAGGGGAGCTCCCGGCGACAGAGGCGGCGTCTTCTCCGATGGTTCTTGGCACCGCGGACCTCCGAGTTGGCGCGCGTGGACCCTCGGTCGCCGGTTCGGGAGTTCTTGGGGGAGGAAGGTGATGAAGGAAGAAGATGGAAGATGACGGCGAGGTTCTTGGTGGCGAGGAAGCGGGATGGGAGGAGTTCTTGGCGAGAAGGTGGCGGAGGAAGGCGATGGATTTTGACGGCGATTTCTTGGTGACCACAAGGGGGAATTCTTGGCGAGAAGAAGATGGAGGAGGAAGATGGAAGTCGAGGCCGAATTGTTGGTGGAGGAAGAAGATGAGGGCAATGTTTAAGAGTTTATGGAGCGGGAAGGCGAGAGAGCCAGGGAGGGGGAGATGGAGTGCTATTTATCGTCCCAATCCCGAAAGAATGGTCGGCTTCCCCGGCGCCGTCAGGTGTTCGATTGCAACCTCTGCAAACTCAAAGCTCCTTGGAGCATTCTGGTTGCTGGAACGCAATACTTATTCGCCCATTGTTCCATTTTTTCTTCTTTTGAACTTGTCTAACATGCAACTGGACATCCGCAGCGATGTCATGTCTTCTTCCTTGTTGCCGGCGGCCATGCCCGTAGGCCGGAGCCAGTACAGGTAGTCCATCACCGTAGAGTTCATGTTGCCTCAGTGCCTCCTCGCCTGAGACGGAGGAAGGCGAGCGTGGCGCCGGCGCGCCGCCGGCTCCCGCGGTCACCAGCGGACGAGCGCCATGGCAGCTGAGTAGCTGTCGGCGCCGCGCCGGTGACCTCCTCTTACCAAAAGCAGAACGGGCCGGCGTGGACGATCGGTGTCGGTGATCTGTGGGCCGAGTGGACCGCACGTATGGGCTGTGGGCCGTTCGCTGCCAAATTCAAGGCCCAATACGGAGCAGCCACTGCGCTAGTGCGGTGTTTAGTCCCACCTCGCTTGCCAAACAATAGTCTTACTAACTTGACTGGATTTATAAATCGAAGTTTGGAGAGTGCTTGTTCTCGCACCGACTTCTAAGAGCATGAGCAGCTCCATAGCTCCATTGTATGTATAAACTGACAACTATTTTAGAGCCGAACTCCTTTTTTTAAGAAAAAGCCTATTTACGATCGACTTTAGAACTCTTTTTTTTTAAAAAAAACTATTTACGATCGTAAAAAAACTATTTACAGCCGAACTCTTTTTTTTAAGAAAAAATGTATAAACATTTTAGAGCCGAACTCTTTTTTTTAAGAAAAAGCCTATTTACGATCGACTTTAGAACTCTTTTTTTTAAAAAAAACTATTTATGATCGTAAAAAAACTATTTATAGCCGAACTCTTTTTTTTAAGAAAAAGCCTATTTACGATCGACTTTATAACTCTTTTTTTAAAAAAAAAACTATTTACGATCGTAAAAAAAACTATTTACGATCGACTTTAGAACCTTTTTTTTAAAAAAAAAACTATTTACGATCGACTTTACCACTGCAACTATTGAAATCTTTTTTTTTAAGAAAAAGCCTATTTACGATCGACTTTAGAACTCTTTTTTTAAAAAAAAACTATTTACGATCATAAAAAAACTATTTACGATCGACTTTAGAACTCTTTTTTTTTAAAAAAAACTATTTACGATCGACTTTACCATTGCAACTATTGGAATCTTTGATTCGTACTTTAGAGTCGAACTCTTTTTTTAAAAAATAAACTATTTATGATCGACTTTACCACTGCAACTATCGAAATCTTTGATTCGTTCGTCTCCCGTGGTAGGCATGAGTCGAACGGACAATGTGGATGCCCTAACGAAACAATAGCTGTCGAACTCTTTTTTTTTAAAAAAAAAAAACTGTTTACGATCGATTTTACCGTTGCAACTATCGAAATCTTTGATTCGTTCGTCTCCCATGGCAAGCATGAGTCGAACAGACAATGTGGATGCCCTAACGAAACAATAGCTCCATTGTCTCCTTTCTGCACGCTTTAATTACTTTATTTTTTGTTACGTCCAGTTTGTATAATTATATTTTTTTACAATTACAATGTTACGCCTATAATTAATTTTTTATAATGTTACGTCCAGTTTGTTTAATTAATATAGACCACCTATAATTATTTGTCATCCGTTCAGACCAATTAATTGTAGACGTAAACTTTTTTTTCACACTAATAAAAAATATATATCACTGGGCAAATCATATTTTCTCTTACTGCCATCAAATGAAGGCCGATGAAAATAAAGTATTTTCATAAGTGGGATCAGTCGTTTGCGAAAATATATTATTTCGGTGACGGGTATCTAAAGGGCATCGTCAGTGAGAATCAATCTTTCTAGGCCTTTCTATCTATCTGCACGCTTTTTATTATTTTCTCTACAAATTTACATTAGATTGTTTGGTATTAATATAGACCACTTATAATTATTTGTCATCCGTTCGGACCAATTAATTTTTTAAAAAATGTTACGTCCAGTTTGTTTAATTAATATAGACCACTTATAATTATTTGTCATACAGTGGACCACTTAAATTGTAGGCGCCAACTTTTTTTTTCACACTACTTAAAAAAAAAGCATATCACTGGGCCAAATCATATTTTCGCTGACACCTAGCCCTACTGCCATCAAATGAAGGCCAATGAAAATGAAAATAGAGTATTTTCATAAGTGGGATCAGTCGTTGGCGAAAATATATTATTTCACTGACGGATATCTAAAGGGCATCGTTAGTGAGAATCAATCTTTCTAGGTAGGACGCTCAAGCCACTCACCACGAAAAATACATTTTTTTCAGAATTCTTTTTTTTTAAATTTTTTAAATGTACATAATTTAAATAACAACTATGCACAAGTTTTTATAATTCTTTAAATGTACATAATTCTTTATCAAATAACAACGGTATATTTTTCACTCAGATCTAAATTCCTTACTTTCTTTTAACTTTTTGAGAATTCTTGTTTTTACAGGTTGGGGAGTGTAACGTCAAACATCTTCACTTGTTTCTCTTCCAATCGCCCAGGTGTTTGACACTGGCAATGTCATTCATTTCTCTCCTTCTCTACCAAGAGGTTAAAAAAATGGGTCCGATAGAAGCATCAGATTACCATACGTGAAAGAACTGTACCATTTCGCAACTGCACCAACGAATAATAAAAAAAAGCACAGAATAAAGTAAGCAAGGAGTTGATCCCATTATTAAAAATCATGTTATTATCTATTTAAACAAATTCCGAAACTCTAAACTACCTGTTATAAAAAAAATAGAATTCCTAATAACAGACCAAAATGCCTTATTTTTATTATTATTTTAGATTGTTTTTACAGGCTGAGTGT